TCATTTCGGGGGGGAACGCAGTTCCCTTGGGCGAGGTACGGGGGGCAGGGCACATGACGAAGCCCCGCCCCCTGCTTCCGGCCGCCCCGCTTCCAGCCCTCATTCAGCCAGGAGGCAGGAGAAGAGGGAGGGTAAGTTGCTTCCTCCCTGCCTCTCCCCACCCCTCCCTGCCTGGGGCCAGGGAGGGCCTTGGCGGGGCTTCCTCGCACTCCCGCTGGCCTTGCAGGCTCACCACTAAGCCCCTGATGTCAGGGGTGTGGCATATGCTAATGAGTTATGTTAATGAGTTTCCCTAGCTCTTTTTCTACGAAACGACCCCTGCTTGTCTTGAAAACCCTACAGGGTCACAATGAGATGGCTGCGACAGCTTCCTCCTCAACTGGCTCTCAAACAACTCTAATTGCTGACAAGGGACCAACTTGCTGGGACCCATTTGATCTTTGGGTCATTTCTGTTTATATTCAGTGTTCTCAGCAACGGCAATCCCAATTTTTAATTACTTGATTAATAGAAAAGAGCAAGAGTCGAGTAGCATCTTAAAGACCAACAAAATTTGTGACAGGGGATGAGCTTTCGTAAGTCACTGCTCACTTCTTTGGAGGTGCTACTGGCCTCTTTGCTCTTTTCTGCTGCTACAGACAGACTAACACAGCTGCCCATCTTAAATTACTTGATATTTTGCTAACATAGAGCCTGTAGTTAGATGACTGGAAAAGCCAAACACATTATTGAGAAGCGATATGATAACCATCTCCAAGTACTTGAAGGGCTGTCATATAGAGGATGGTATGGAGCCGTTTTCTGTTGCCCCAGAAGTTTGGACCAGAACCAACGTGTTGAAATTAAATCAAAGGAGTTTTTGGCTAAACATTAGGAAGAACTTCCTGACAGTGAGAGCGGTTCCTCAGTGGAAAAGGCTTCTTTGGGAGGTGGTGGGCTCTCCTTCCTTGGAAGTTTTCAAACAGAGGCTAGATGGCCATCTGACAGCAATGCTGATTGTGTGAATTTAGGCAGATCATGAGAGGGAGGGCAGGAAGGGTTGCGTCAGTGCTTAGTTCTTGTGGCCCTTTCTTACATGCCCAGGGAAATGCTGATCGCCACTCGGGTCAGGAAGCAATTTTTTCTCCGGGCCAGTTTGGCCAGGAATCCTGGAGGGGTTTTTTTTGGTCATCCTGGGCATGGAACAAGGGTCACTGGGTGTGTATGGGGGGGAGGTATTTGTTGTGAATTTCCTGCATTGTGCAGGGGGTTGGAGTAGATGACCCTGGAAGTCCCTTCCAACTCTGATTCTATAATTTTTTTTTTCAGTCTCTTGGGGAATTTGGTCACAACTTTAACTTTGTCTTATGCGTCTTGATTAGCAGAACGGATTAGTGGAAAATAGAAATGTTCCACAAGGTATCTGAAGGCACAGGGAGAATTTTCCCCCCCTACACCACCTAAACTTCCTTAGTTAAAATTTCAGAAACTCAACAATAAGTTCTCACGGCTGTTCAGCATGTTTCCACTAACTTCTGAATTTCCCTAGTGAGCTTCTCTGGCTCATTCTGCTTTTGAGATGTCTTTTCCTTTTTAATATGATTTATTAACACAGTTGGAAAGCAGATGTGTCTATATAGGAATCACATATGTGGATTCATTCAACAGAGCTAAAAATTTGGCAGAGGAATCCGGAACAACTACAGGCAAATCCCAAACACATTGGAAAGATAGAATCCCCCCTGAACATATTGAAAGAAGAGGAACTCAGATGTGGACACATCATTTAATAGAAACCAATCCAACCCCTCCCCCCAACTCCTGCCGTTATACATTATTAGTCATAAGGAATGAGAATATGCCCTTAGGAAACAAATGTCAAGGAAAGTTCATGTAAGGAAACCTTAATTTACCTGTGACTTCCTCTTCTCAGTAGTGCCTGACAGATGGAGGATGTCTTGGATGATGTCTCTCCATGGTTATCAAGTCAGGTTGACTTGCAAACAATACCAAGGGGGAATTGCTAGACTGAACCTACTTGGCCAGCAGAATGCCAAAATGAGCTAGGAACAGAGCTCAGCAACATCTTTCAATGTAAAGTTTTGTTTCTCTCTAAACACCCCTGCCACACAGACCTTTGTGCCATCTGAGACAAGACTGGGGGCAGATTAGGGGACTGAGGCACCATCTGGAATAAGCGATGGAATTGCCAAAAGAACTCACTATCCAGCTCCCTCTAGGACGCAGTTAACATCCTCTACCTCTCTGTTACTCGAGAATCAAAGAGGCAGGCACAAGTAGCCACACTTAGCATTTTGCTTAAGCCGACATACTCAGGCTCCAGGCGCGCTAGTTCAGTACGGCGATGGGCAAACTTGTACAATCAGATCCATCAGCAGTTGACCACATCATCTCCATACTTGACTGATTTGTTTTTGCCCACAGAGGTGTGGGCAGGCTGGAAAAGAGAAATGCATAAGGCACTGTGATACTTGGGGAGGAGGGTCCACCTTCACCGTTCCTCTTTCTGGATAAATTATATTTTTCCCTCCTGTAGCTTCCTTTCTTTCCTTGGAGGAATTCACAAGACAAGGATATGGCTGAATTTTAGGAGCTGCTTCTCTTCCAAATAATGTACGTGCTTTTCTGAATTTAACCTTTTTTAAAGAAGTTGTCCAGTTGCATTGTTATTAAGATGATGGAAAACTGTATTATACTAATGATCAATGTCCCACTTGATGCCTTCCGTAATGAAGGAATTACAGGAGACTCCTTCAGAGAAGGCAGAGGCTGTGGTCACACATGCACACTACATAATCCACTTAGAGTGCACTTTCCAACTGGATTTTACTTGTGTGAACTGGCAAAATCCAGTTGGAAGGTGCATTGAAAGTGGATTATTTAGTGTGTGTGTGACCACAGCCTCTCTCTCTGATGGTCAGGCTTCCCAGGGCTAATTACAATTTTCACATAAATTAGGAAGAACGTCCTGACAGAGCAGTTCCTTAGTGGAACGGGCTTCCTCTGGAGGTGGTGGGCTCTCCTTTGGAGATTTTTAAGCAGAGGTTAGATGGCCATCTGATAGCCATGCAGATTCTGTGAATTTATGAAGATCGTGAGGAGGAGGGCAGGAAGGGATGAGTCGGTGCTTGGCTCTGGTAGTCCTTTCTTACATGCCCAGGGGAATGCTGAGTACCACGTTGGGATCAGGAAGGAATTTTCCTCCAGGCCAGATTGGCCCAGGGATCCTGGAGGTTTTTTTGCCTTCCTCTGGGCATGGAGCAAGGGTCCACTAGGGGAGTGGGAGGTAGCTGTGAATTTCCTGCATTGGTCAGGGGGTTGGACTAGATGACCCTTGAGGTTCCTTCCAGCTCTCTGTTTCTGTGTTTCGAAATTAACATATCCCTCCGAATCCACATTTCATGAGAATAAAACTGGCATTAGAGCATTACTTGTTATTTCCCTTAGGAAAACTACGTGAACATGACCAATGTAAACAGGCACAAGACCAAAAACACCTTAACATGGAAAATTACAAAAGTTGCCTTTTCAAATACATTTATTAACCAATGTTAACACATTTAATGACTCTATATATTGCTAGTCAGAGCAGCTTACAAAATGCCAGAATGCATCATAGAACTGGACAGCCACAATGAGTAAATTACAATGTGCATAGTGGCTAAGCTCAACACTTGGATATAGCTTTATGATTTGCAGGAAAAAACTTTAAATCAGGATTCCTAAAACAATTATATTTTCCCCTAAAACTTATACAAAACCAGGCCACAAAATATTTTTGTAGTTCTTTTGTTGGTTTTTTTTAAAAAAAAACACACAGAATTTTTCACGCTGTAGTAACTTGAAAATGTGCAACCGTGTCAACAGAGACAGGAGAAAAAAAGCCAAAAGAACACAAACCTTACTTTCATGCAGCTATCAGTTAAATATTATATATATATATATCCTGGAATGATTTTACACCAAAAAAGTTTCCACGAAAACTTGCCTTTTTAATATATATATATAGGGTTGGACCGAAGTTCTTTTGGGAAATTGGAAAAAATAATCAAAAAGATTTAGGTATTCCTTTGTTGCTTGGTGGTTTCCTTTACTGTCACAACATAAAGCCAACAAATGCTTAGTCAAGGATACAGATCACGAGATAACCCAACTGAGATGTCTTTGAGTGACAAGAGTTCCAGTGCTGAGATCGAGTTCTCCTGCCCACAAGAACTTCCTCCTCCGTTTCAATGGAGGAAGAAGGCACACCTGCTCTTGTCTCTGCATAGGGTGAATGTGTTCCATCCACCGGAATAAACAGGGCAGCTTGAGTGTGCAAGACTCAAGAGTCTCCACTACCATGTGCAAAGAATTCTAGGATCAGGGTGAAGGCGACTGTTTTGTGACTACAGTGTCCAATTTCAATTCACACTAACCTCATTCTAGAAATTATGTGGTTGTTTCTAAGTCCGTTAGTAATCACTTTGCATACAGTCTGGATTTCATTGGCAAATCACAGAAGACAGAATAGGAGCTTCATCTTTATATTGACCCTGATGAAACCTGGAGAAAATGTCCTTTAAAAAAACGAACAAAACAAACCTTTCCTCTCCTTACTTCCACTCCCGTTGTTCCATTGTGTAATCGCTTTCAATAAATATCCAAAGTCTAAATAAATATTTACAAATTGTCTAACTTTTTTAAAAAAGCTAGGGTGATTACTGGGCATTAGTTGAGTCTAAGACCATGCCTTTTTTAAAAAGAACCCTAAATGCTGAGATATTTTAAAAGAAAAGTTGGTTAAATAAAACTTTACACATATTTTTAAAAATTGTCTCTGAACATGGATGCAATTTATATATATAATATATATATATATATGTATATATACCTATACATAAAACAAACCAAAAGGAAGGTGGAGGGGGGAAGAGAAGGGGGCGAAATTCAGTTTTCAACTATCGATCCATTCCTATTGGTAACGCTTCTTTATCCAGACATTCCGCAGAAAGACAGACTTTTTTATTTTTACAAATCACAGCATCTTTAATACAAGAAAAGTAACATGCATTATTCTTCATTCTAAGTATAGGGATGGGATTGACCAATACAAACATAACTGCTCCTGTGAAGCTTAAGTGCTTTCTCCCGCCCTTCCCAATTTCAATTAATTTACTATCGAATAAGTAATGTAGATTAACGGGCAAAGACCATTTGGTGTGGGAGGGAACTCTGGGGAGGAGGCCAAGGGGACTAATTTTCAAGCCATTTTTCTTCTCGTGTCTCATCTTCACAGTTCCATGTACAACTAAATGTAAAACTGGATTTTTTTCTTTCCCTTTCCTTTGTTTCGTTTTTTTGGCTTCCTCTTTTTTTCTTTTTTTTTACAAGCGTTCATGTTAGGAAAAGGATGAAATGTGCAAAAATTTAAATATTTTTTTCTCTAAGATCCAGCTCAGCAAGAGGCTACCCCAGTCCCTTGTGATTTTTTTTTAAGCTAAAAGATCAAAGCTAATATTTTGTTATAAAAGTTATACATTGTGTGTTGGGGGGGGGAAATGAATGAAACAAACACAAACTTGGGAAGGGGGGAAATGTAAGAAAAAAATAGGCAGGACTAGCACCTGCAAGTGTCAACCCTGTTCCCAAAATTCAATCATATATACCCACTGGTTCAAACCAATAGATAATGCCTTTAAACAGTAAATTAAGCTGAACAAAAAGCAGCTCATGCGATTAACAGGTAAGTGTTACACATCAAAGGTAGTATGCTTTTTTTTCTTTTCTGTTCTAAACAATTTTATTCTTCTTACATTCAGATCTGTTTTTAAAATGTTCCTGTCATTATATTTCTGTGTCTCTATGAAACCTAAAAACGTTTGCTTTATTTTTATTTTTTATTTGCTGAAAACGCAACAGATTTTGTAGGTTTTTAATTTTAACACACACACACACACATACACACCCCCAAAAGTAATGTGCTCCAGCTCATATTCAGACCACCTTACAGACAAAAAAAAAGGTAAAAAGAACCGGGGGGGTGGGGAACTGACAACAATTTGAGAGGAGCGTTAAAACGCAAGACTGAAGTTTAAAACTGTGCAAAAAGTTCTTTATGAAAAAAGTGTTTTAAAGGCCGGTGCAAAAAAAGGGGGAGGGGGAGGATAGTGAATTCCAAACAATTCTGGCCCCCTTGGAAACAAAAAGAGACCTGCTGCGTCAGAGAGCAGCAATAAACTGGGGCGATTCCTTCTCCGCAGGGGAAGAAAACAGGCGTTCATCTTTTCCTGCGGCAGGTGCGCTTGTGCTCGGCATGCCAGTGTTCCTGCTGGCACTTGATGGAGCAGTAGGAGGTGTTCCAGCAGCAGTGGTACATCGCCTCCTCCTCGCAGTTGTAGCACTGGGAAGGAAACAAGAGGGCATCACAGTCAGAGACAGACAAATGCTCTTCCTTGCTTGCCTTAGGTCCGCTTCCTGCTGGCCCTGTGCTCTTCTCCAGACACCTCTGGCGGCGGGGCGGGGGGGCAGTGTCACTTTTTCTTAACGATTCTGCAAGTGTGAAACAACCCCACTTGTACACATACAGCTAGCATTTACAGGCCCCAGGCTGACACACACACACACGTTCCATCTGATGACCAGCAGCTAAATCACAGCCTTGCCTGTACGGTTTGCCCTGCTGTGGCTCATTCACACATGCAAGTCATCAAGTGGAAAAAATGAATGTGTGAACACATGTCAAACAACTTGGCAGCAGGGTTTGATATGTCACAGCAGTGATCCCGAAACGTGGTGCCCGGCAGTGCCATGGTGCCCAACTATGTTTCCTAGTGCCCCTTTGCTTCTTTCCAAAAACACGTTTTCCAAAGCAAAGAGCCAAATCCCGGCTTTCCTTCAGCTCATCGGAGTAGGAGAGGCTTCAGACAAATCCATGAAGCATCATTGTTAGATCTGGAGGGAACACCCACTGGGAAATAACTGCCCCCATCCTAAGAAGATGTGTGGCTTGGAACCGCCCAGCATTTTGAAACTGCCCCCCATGACAATCATTTTGTGATTCGTCCCATATCCGGTGGCAGCTATTTTGTGGGGGTGCCAACTAACTTTTCTCAGGATTCCAGGAGTGCCCACAGAATCAACGAAGGTGAGGACGCCTGGGTTAGAGGGTGCGTCTTCTGCAAGCCTGGGCTGATCCTTCACAGACAAAACCTACAGGAAGCCTGACACAAGGCCGCAGAAATACTGGAGGGAAATAACTCCTGCCACGCTCTCTGGGGAGCCCCCTTTTATGCGCTGGAAGGAAAAGCGTGAGCCACAAAAAGCATCTGTGAAGCCACCAGAAGCGACTGCTAGATCGGCCATGCTTACCCACTGCTTCTTCTTGGTCTGGGAAATCAACTGTTTGTGCTGGCTAGCTAGCTTCTTGATTTCTTCTAAAAATTCCTCTTTACACTTCTCCTTGACCTGCTTCGTCTTTCGGTCACATTCAGTCTGCATGTTCGCAACAGCTTTGTTCACTGCTTGCCTTTTTTCCTCTTCCATGTCGGTACGCAGCTGAATGATTGTTTTAAAAAAAGTTATTTGAATGATAATAGCAGAGCAAAAAAAAAAAAAAATTCCCTATAATACACACCACATCCTGCTTTGTGTATATGGGTACACCATTAGCATTCACCTTGGGGGTTTGCCTAAACTGCTGTCTGGGATAGCAGGGATTCGCACTGGTGCAAAACTGCCTCCAACAAAAATTCCTCCAAGATGGGTCTGCACTGGTGCCAACGTGTATATCAGGTGCACACAGGGCTCCCATTTACCTGCCCAGGGTGGGGACTCACCATCCCCCAGCCCCAATTTCCTACCCCCTGAAGAACTGAGGAGCAGGAGAAAAAATGGCCTCCATATAGTGACACTCTAGGAATTTCCCCCCCAGTCTCACTGGTAAAGACTGCAGAGACTGGGGGAGACAGCTTAGAACATCAATGACATAACATCCTTCCCCCAAACCCTGCCATTTCCAGGCACTGAGGAGGAGTGCTGGGAACCCTACATGGAAGCACAACTGTGGTTCCAGCATCTGATATGCATCAGGGGTGTTGTTAGGCTCACTTCATCCTGCAACACCCCTGATCCTGCAAGAGGTTCAGATGCAAACTTCCAAAAAATATTTCCTGACTGAAAGATACCCTTCATTACATTGCATGTGACAACAGAATTAGTGCCTTCTTTGCCAAACCCTGAGGGTGCAGAGTCAGGAGGATACCTTCTCAAGAGCTTCCCGCACAACCCTCTCAGTCTCCCTCTTGTGATCTGCCTTGATCCTTTCTTTGAAGTCGCTGAAGATTTTGGTGTATTTGTCGTGGCACATGTTCTGACACACCCCGTCATTATTGGTCTGGGTGCTCCGATGCAGCATTTTTGGAGAAGAGGCACTTAACTTCTTGGTCTGGGTTGAGACTGAAACCTTCTCAATGGGCTGAGGCATTGTGGGAATTTCCTGGCTTGAGCTCACGGCTTCAGTTTCAGGCTCTGGCTCCTAGGAAGAACCGAGAGAATTGTTCGTCTTGATGGTCAGTGAGGATGACCTCAAGCTTCTGGGTGAAAGGAGGTGAAGGGCTGGAATATACTGAAGCAACATGTAAGTAAGGAACCAAGATACCCCTTGCAATGTCCTCTGAAGGCAAAGGACTAATACTACCACGTTAGCCATAGCTGTACAGCACAAAAATCCAATAGCATTAACACAGATGATCATGCTGTGCTGCCTGACTAAAAAATTAAGAGGTCACCTCCAGTGTAGAAATAAATTAACTTGCCACGGGATCTGAGGAAGGGAGCTTTGACTCTTGGAAGCTCCATGCCCTGAAAACCTCGTTGGTCTCTAAGGTACTACTGGCCTCCAAGCTAGTTCTTCTACTGCAGACCAACACGGATACCCTCCCGAAACTATTGTCATGGCGGTATGTGATAGTCAGCGCTGTGATCGGGTGGAAAAGAAAATCAGATCTCTCTGATTTTGGTTGCACTGGATAATCCACGAAACTACACAAATGCACCACTTAATTTAAGTAACACCAGGGACCCCCAACCTCTCTGACCCTGTGGGCACTGTTGGTATCCTGATACAGCAAGGTGGGCTCAGACACGACATCACAGCCACAAGACGGCTGCCCGAGGGAGTGGAGCCAGCTATACGATGGCTGCCGTGGTTCGCCTTCAGACACACAGTGAAGATCGTCATGTTGTGGCAACAGCTGCTGCCCAAGCGGCGTTTCTGAAAAACTGCACAGCCAATGAAATCTCCCATGGCTGATTCGAAGCCTTGCTTGGCAAAGGCCCGCCCTGACCCCAACCACTTTTAAAAAACACTTGGGGGGGCACCAAGAGAAGTGTCAGCAGGCACCACAGTGCACACGGGCACTAGGTTGGGGACCCCTGAAAAACGTATTTTCCCATCTAATATAATATGCAGACCAGCCCGGCACCAACGCAACATTGGCCATCTCTTAACAGTGGTTAGGAAATGGGGAACAGGCAGCAGATCCATGCATTTCCTTCCTCTCCTTCCTGCACTATGCGAATGTGATGCATGCGTGAGCTTCAAACTGTGGTAAAGTCGGGATCTCTAGTTAGAATTGGGATGATTAGTGTTGACCGCATTAAACCCTGATTACGACAGAGGAAGGAGGCATGCAACATTGGCCATCTCTTAACAGTGGTTGGAAAATGGGGGACAGGCAGCAGCTCCACGCATTTCCTTCCTCTCCTTCCTGCACTGTGCGAACGTGATGCATGCGTGAGCTTCAAACGGTGGTAAAGTCGGGATCTCTAGTTAAGAGTTGGGATGATTAGTGTTGACCGTATTGAACCCTGATTACGACAGAGGAAGGAGGCAGAATTCATGTCCGAGATGAAGGGTATTTGAGGCCCTGGCCTGCTTACCATCTCTTAACCACCGTTAAAAGAATGACAACATTACATCCATGCCAAGCCAACGTGTCATGCCATTTTGTGCAATTCTGGGTCACCTAACGAGATGAATGTTGTAAATAAATAAGGAAAGCTTATGATTCCATTTTGCCAGCCCTAAGGAAATGACAACCTATTTTACATTAGGGTTGCCTGGTCTCCCCGGCCATCAGTGAAGGAGTGGGAGTGCAGGGTTGCCAGCTCCAGTTTGGGAAACTCCTGGAGATTTGGGGGGTGGAGCCTGGGAAGGACAGGGACCCCAGTGGGGTACAATGCCATAGAGTCCACCTTCCAAAGCATCCATTTCCTCCAGGGGAACTGATCTCTATAGTCTGGAGATGAGCTGTAATTCTGTGGAATCCCCAGGTCCCGCCTGGAAGCTGGCAACCCTGTTTTGCATACAGATCGGCAAACATCTATGCTTGGTAAAGCAATAATGTAAAATCGTTCAATTCTGAACAGAAGCAGAGTAAAGTGCACTCTTAAAAGAAACCCATCCTTTCTGACGTTCACACGTTTAATGAAAATGGAGCAAAAGCTGAATCTGAAATCGTAAAAGGATGCCCCTTGCAATTTTGCTCTACTCTATGTACAGGCACATGTATCAAAAGTCATGCTGTTTCTTACTTCCTTTTTGGGTTCCACGCTTTGATTACGTCTTCCTTTCTTTGCTCTTGGTTCCTGAGTAACCTTCAGCTGTGAAACAGCCAATATAGTATTAGTTCAAATAAAAAAAATTCGATTTGCTGATAGTCAACTACTCTTTTTTCTTTTGGGGGGGCAAAACTTGTTTGACCTGCAAATTACACTCTAGAAGAATACAGGCTGGTTAACAACAATAATTTCTCTTAATGCACTAAAATGTGACAAGCAAGCCAGTCTTGGAGAGGCCGCAAGGAAGACATGATGATGTAGAAATAAGTTATGGGTGAGGCCCAAGGATGATCCTGTACTTCCTCACAATGCTAGCAAGGTTCCGGAGTCTTTCAGTAGTATGGACCTCACTTGCTGTTGGCCCCTCCTTCCCTCTTCCCCCTCCGCTCACATGTCATGACCTAATTAGTCAGTTCTGTCTTTTTAACACACTACACTTTGTCATTACATTCCATGCAGCAAACAGTGGTTTGTACTAGCCTTGTAGACAAGGGCTCCAAACTGGGAATTTAGCCAGCAAAAATCCCAGCTTGCCAGTTTGGATGTAATACCAGGCTCTGCTTTCTCCACAATCTGGACATATCTGATTGTGCTGCGGTATACAAACTGAATATGCCCCTGATTCCTTAGAGGCTCATTCAACATGGGGCTAAGACATGCTTAGTGCTACATGTGAACCAAACTGCTGCCTCGCCCATTAAAACATCTTATACCGATATGTTTTTGGAGCACATGAAAAAGCCCTTCTTCGTGGGATCCTGCCTCACCTCCAAGAGAGCAAAAGAAGCACGATTATATAAACTAGAATGCACCAAGCAGAGATTCAGAACAAAGCAGAATGGCTATTACTGAGGTGTTAACAAGCCAACAATTTTCACCCGTCCAAAGTACTGTGGGGAAACCCCCCCAACAAATAGAACCCAACGAATAGAACCCACATTTATCTGAATCCAACAGGAATCAGACAACAAATGGAGCAGTTAAAATAAAGGATTCTTTGACACAGAAAATTGTTCTGTGTGATTGTTTTTAACTGGAAATTCATTTAGCTTTAGAATCCCAACCAAAACCTTAGGCATGAACCTGTGAATACATTCAGACAGCAAACTCAACCACGGTTAAGCTAAAATGTACACAAACCTGCCTCTGTTGCTGGACTAATTCCTTTCATCTTGTGCAGAACATGATGAAGGATTTCTTGTAAGAAATTAACTCTGGCTACCCATCATTTATGAACATAGATGTGGGTTTTAACTAGAGTTCATTCCCCCCCCTCCACCCTAGGGTTGCCAGCTCCAGGTTGGGAAATACCTGGAGATTTCCGGGGTAGACTCTGAGGAGGGCAGGGTTTGGGGAGGGGAGGGGCTTCGGTGGGGCATAACGCCATAGACTCCACCTTCCAAAGGAGCCATTTTCTCCAAGAGATCTCGGTCGCCTGGAGATCAGTTGTAATCCCATGAGATCCCCAGCAACCCTCTTCCACCCCCACTAGTCAGGCTTCTAAACCAGAGTTCAATCCAGGCTTAAAATCAAGGGTCACAGTGTTATGGGGGTTAACTCACATGCCTGCATTCCTGTGTTACTGGAAGCTGCAGTCAGTTTCTAATTGGGACTCTTCATCAGTCCCTGGGTGAGGAATACGCGAACATGGCACCAGTGGGTTTGTACACATTTTTAACTTAACTGTGGCTAAATTTGCAGTCATAGATGCCATATCCCTAGAGTTTCTAATAAAGCGATGGAATCCACAATGTGACATCTTTGAGATTACTCAATCAAAATCACGATATGGACAACAAAGCTAAGATGTGGCGCACACACGACTTTGCTAATGGTGGATAACACATAACTGGATGTTTCTGATAGATCCAGGTGAGCAGCCGTGTTGGTCTGAAGCAGTACAACAAATTATGAGTTCTGGGGCCCCTCTAAGGCCAACAAAGGTTTATTCATACCTTGAATAAGCCTTTGTTGGGGCGCCACTGGACTCATAATTGGTTCTGGATGTTTTTGAAGCATTCCATTCACTTTTGTTTTACCAAAGAAGAGGCCCCTCTGGATGGTGTACACAATGCCATGGAGAAACGGAGTATGAATTTTCTACTTACAAAGAAACAAGTACTACTATTTCTATGACTGCAGCAGTTTTCAAAAGCAGTCACAAGAATTAAAATGTCTGTGGCTGTCTCCACTGAAGCAGCAAGTTCATACTGAGGTCCCTCCAGGGGATCATGTGCCTCTCACAAACAATTACTTTGGAAAATATGTACTACTTATTTGGATGAACTAGCCTGTAACAACAGTACAAAGGAGAATGGCACTAGTAACAATATATCCATTAATGTTTTACACACCATGAACAGTGTTGCATATATCCAACATCATCACAGGATTGACAAGGAAGGACCCCTGTCGCTTCCCAACTCCCAGGCAGATTTTTCCCGCCAAAACTTAGATCCCTTTAGTTACTGAGGCCCGCCCTCAGTAGTGCATATTTCTTTTATGTCTTAAAAGACTTGATTGTCCCACCCTTTGACAGAGATATATTTTGGCTTTGGACCCAGCACAGGAACCTGAGGGAAAAACAGGAGCCCTCTTGTCTTAAACCCTTTAAAGTGGTGCTTGAGACTGTATAACTTTTAAAACAGAATAAAAGATTTTCATTTAACAGGCAGGGGATATATATATTGGAGAAGTCATGGTTTAGAAATGCTGAGGTAAAAGTTATATTTTGTACAGGAACGAATTCTTAAGATAAACAAGAGTGTGGTGTTGTGGCTTATTTTCAGGGATTTCTAGATCTTTTCAGTGAGAGGTATTTTGCTCAGTATGTTTCAGCAGTTTCAATATTACTTCACAGAGTTTCCTGGAGATCTGCTCTTAGAGTATCTAACTTTCTCCCTTGTGAAAACACGGTTTTCCACTACCTCCTGAGGTGTCTAAAGCTTATTCCCTTCACCACAGACCAGGGTTTTCCTCAAAGCTCAACCCCTTTTCAACTGGCAGGAACTATTCTTCTTTTCATAAGAAGCAATGCCCCTTTTTCTACTTGGCTTGATTGGGAGTTACAGCCTAACAACCCAGTCACCCTTGCCAAATCTCTCTCCCAGCGCTGATGTCTCTATAAAGCAGTTTTTAGCTTTTTGGACTTAGAATCACAATTCTCCCTCAGAGCAGTACTTATTCAATTAGGGCAAAGGAGTCTCTTCTCTCAGAAGAACCTGTCTGACCAATCCAGTCAGAACTACTGACTCCAGTGGTCTCTTTCTCTATCGGAAACGGACTCACTGGCTTGCTGACTTCAGACCAAAAGCCATTTTCCATCCAGTACACAGCTGATCATATACTTTCTCTCAGTTGACACTGGCCAATCAGAGAACATGTAGAGCAGCCAATCAAATAAGCTCTGCACTCCAGGGAACATTAACTCCTTACCTCCCAGGGCCTCTGAGCTAGCAGCATTTTAAATCCTGCTTTTCATGTGCAATCCGTCACAACATGCAAGCACAGAATCTGGTGTGCAGCGCAAAATTTGGCAACCCATTTTTAAAGAAAGACAAGTTCCTAGCTCTCATGACTTCGGAGAAAAGCTTGAAATCAATGGGAGCATGCTTGGTGAAATCTCAGAAGACACAGGCAGAACGAAGTGGAACAGAACTGGTGGATCTCAGAATTGCAAGCTGAAGCCTTGATCTGCCCACACTTTCCCTTTTTCATCCCCAAAGTCCCTGGCCAAACTGTTCCCACTCTTTGCATACCAGCATCTTAGAAACAGGCAAGCAACATGAAGCAAAATTAGCAAATATTAGCACTTCAGATATTACCAAAGGTCAGGGCTTTCTTTTTCTGAAAAAGAGGTGCTGGACCTCTGAAGAGGGAGATGAAGTTTTCAATCTGTATACCGAAAACTCAAGAACTTTTAAACATTTTAAAAAGAATTCTGTTGAAGGCGTTCTGGAACTCCCTTCTGGCATGTTCTCCCAGAAAAAAAAGCCCTGCCAAAGGTTATTCCAATTAAACATCTGGGGGTTTCCTTGCCACAGAATCCAATGAGTTAAATTGTCTAGTTTAAAGTACAAGAGGTACACAGAGGAACACAGAGCTCAAAGCATAAGGAATGGGGGGGGGGAAGAGACCACCTAGCTTTGTGCAAGTCCATCCATACCTTTCCAGGTCTACTCACCTGTTCATTGCTGGTGGAAGAAATGCTAGACTCTGCTTCCTCCTCTCCTTTGTCCTCATTCTTTGATTTCCAGAATCTGCCATCCCGAAGGAAGCGCTGGTGCAGTTCTAGCTCATCGCACGCTTTCTTCCAACCCATGCTGCGTTTCACATGCAGCCGATGTATGTTAACGGTGATGTCCTGAATGTTTTCGGAAGGGATCCAGGCCCTGCGCAGTGTAGATTAAGAGACACACGTAAGAAGGCTGGAGTGAGTGATTACATAGTATACACAGACGCTGAAATTATCTAGGACAGAGCTTTCAAAAGGAGCACACGGCACATCATTTCAGCCATCCCAATACATAAATGAGGCCAAGCTGCTTGTGCTGCTGTTGCATCACAGATCCAATGAGACTGCAGCACAGGCTGTGGATGATGGCCGCTTCTATGCCTGAAATATTTTTTAAAAAATTATAGCCTCCATTATAGCCTCAGCCCGAGCTCTTGGAGAGCTGCAGCCAGACAGAGACCAGCAGGTCTGTTTTCCTGGAAGGTACCGTTCGCGCCTCAAATGCACCTACATAATTGCCACAACAGTGCTTTTTGCTAAAAAAAAAAAAAAAAAGGAAAAGAAATCCAAACCGTGTGTGTGTGTTATGTGCCATCCAGTTGCTCCCGACTTATGGTGACCCTGTGAATTAATTACCTCCAAAACGTTCTAGCGTTAACAGCCTTGTTCAAGTCTTGCAAACTGAAAACCATGGCTTCCTTTATTGAGTCAATGCATCTCATGTGGGGTTTTCCTCTTGGCCTTCAACTTTTCCTGGCATTATTGTCTTTTCCAGGGACTCTTGTGTTCTCGTGATGTGACCAACATATGATAGCCCCACTTATTTTAGCTTCTGGGAACAATTCAGGCATGATTTTGTTCTAGAACATACTTATTTGTCTCTTGGTCGGTCCACAGTCCCCATAAAACTCTCCTCCAACACCCCATTTCAAGTGAACCAAAAATTCTTATGTATCCCCAATTTACCCATTTTTATACTGAATTGTGTAAATGTGTCATAAGCAGAAATCCAATCTTTTTGCCGTAAGACTTGCATTTGTGCGTATATTTCTGACACCCTATGCATGTTTTTTCCACGCAAAGTTCCTTTTTTTAAACAAAGGAAAAGGAAGAAAGATTACCTGACAATTGTTCCAGACCTCTAGTGTGAAAAGGGCACTGCTCACAAAGAAAGGCAAAGGAAAGGGTGCTGTTACGCTCTAAGCAATTCTTCTGCGCAACCCTCATCTATTTCATGGCCTCTGTCAACAATAGGGGTGTTTGTTGCAGTACGGAGACCCATTAGGGTAATATGAAGTTGCGATGCAGCTCCTCAGGTAAGGATATCATTATTTTTTCCTGCAGTTCTGACCTCTCTCATCTGTATTTGTACCTGCTAAGCTTCACAACAATAAGTGCTGTTCTTTTATTCAGATGGCTGTTTGAAAAATGGTTCATGCAGACATTAACGCACAGTCTTTTATTTGAAAGGGAGCATCCTTGTGGCAATCAAGGAAGTGGAATCTCTCGCGAATCGCTTAGCAGTGTCAATTTTCCCCCCTCTCAAATCATGTAAGTGCGAAAAGAGGGGGGAAATGCTTTCGACAAAGTTTGTGATCATTTCAGTTCAGCTGCAGGAAGGGAACTGAACACTATCATAAGCTGCCAGCGTGAAAAGTACCTTTGGTGGTGATGGCCGAAAAAGCGAACGTCAACCTGATTGTCCTCTTTCTGCATGACTTTGGCAGGCCAGAATCCAAACCCTTTCATTTTAGCCCAAACTAGCTCGTGATTGGGTATCTGGAAATTACAGAAACAGGTTAAGTTTATAGTTCTTATCTCTGATGAGGTTCAAAGTACTGAATTTCAGCCACATAATAAAAATGATAAAAAATAACAATAGTTTTACCTGCCTTTAAAAAAAAAAGAAAAAAAGACTTGGTTTCTTTTCTTCTTTTTTAATAACCCAGTGTAGGAAAATTCCTACAATGCAGGATAAGGTTTGGAGGAGGAACGGATTGACTTTTAACATCACGAGTGAGATGGCTGCATTATATTTTCCAAATGAAGAAGAGTAGCTTTTTATACCCTGCTTTTTTCTACCCTAAGGCATCTCATAGTGGCTTACAATTGCCTTCCCTTCCTCTCCCCACAACAGGAGCCTTGTGAGGCAGGTGGGGCTGAGAGACTTCTGAGAGAACTGTGACTGGCCTGAGGTCACCCAGCAGGCTTCACTTGGAGGAGTAGGGAATCAAATCCGTTTCTCGAGAGTCCGCCGCTCTTAACCACTGCTTTCTATGGTTGTAATTAAAGGATTCCGACAATACGAACATGTTCCTTCATGGTTTTTAATCCAACCAAGTGCCTCCCCCTCCAAAAAGAATCCTATTAAAACTGCATTCCAAATTATCTTTGCTTCCCATGATTTTGATTTATTATACTGCACAGTATTGGCGGGGCTGCATTATCATTGGATTTTTATAGTGCATAAAAACTATTCTAAGGCCTAGGGAACATCAATGGGAAGAGGATATTAGAAAACAAATTGTCAGATGGGCGAGAGCACCCATGTCATCACGACTGCTCTCCAAGGCCACGGCAAACACTAGAGAGATTGAGGACTCCAATCGACGTTACGCGTGACCCAAACTGTGGTACACACCACGTCAGGGAACTGTCATTCACAAGGGCCGTGGAACCAGTTTCTGCTCCCATGCACGGGATGGGAGGGTATCAGGGAACTGTCATTCACAAGGGCCGTGGCCGGGATGGGAGGGTGAGGGGCTTCAGCCTTCTCTCCTGCATCATTTTCTACAACCTACACAGCTGCAGCCAAATAGGGTCACACAAAATATTTAGATTCAGGTGGGTAGCCACGTTGGCCTGATGCACTAGAACAATATTTGACTCTTAAAGGTGTCACGGGACTCAAAGTTGGTTCTACATAGTATTTAGTTAAGCCCTGAGGATGTCTTCCTGCAGAGCTTCCAGTGTTTGCAGTATCCTCAGGGTGCTTCTGTTTGTTTATTCTAGCTTGTCTCGGAACCCAAATTACAGACTAAGTAACAAGTGAAACAGCATCATCAGCAATAAGGCACCTTATTTATAAATCACCTAAATTACTGGACAGGTGCAAAATATTATAGAAAGGAAGACGATTCTGTGCCTAGCGGACTCACAATGTAAAATGGATGTGCACAACAGGAAGGGCAGGGAACTGAATGGGGAAGGACACTCCCAAGCCTAATTCATTGGCTAAGCGGAAGCAGCCAGGCCTCATGCCTGCATCCAATACCAGGGAAAGGGCCACAACTCATTGACAGAACACCCGTCTAATGGGCTGCATGCGTACTAGTGTTTGTACCTAACATCTGGTATTTAAAGACAGACTGACTCTGTACACATGGCTTTCATGGCTAATAGCCATTGACAGGCTTATCCACTATGCCTAATACTTTTCAAAAGAGCTACTGGCACAGTGCAGCAGTGAATTCCAGAACTTAATTGTACAATGTGTGAAGAAGTAAGATGAAGAAATAAACTTACACAAGGATAGCAGAACCAATTGTCAGGACGCGCATTTGATAAATAAAAACAATTCTTGCAAAGCTGAAGTTCATCCAGCTGAAAAAAAGAAGCGCAGTGTCAATAATATACTTCTTGTGATACTGAAAAGCATTCTTCTAACAACTTGAAAATGAGAAATTGCAGAATAAGGTTTTTTTTCCATGCTGGCCTCTGTGTTCTGCAGAACCACACCGGGGAGCATCAACTAAGCAAAACACCGGCTTCAGGAATAATTTATTCTTTCAAACGGTGATGCTAAAACTTATTTAATATTTTTAACAAGCCATGACATATATATAAGAATAATTATCACACTGAAAAGAATTTCCAAAAGCTCAGAACTAATTGGGGTACAAAGGCAGAGCAAGCATGATAGCTGTCATTACTGCTATTTAGGTGTCTTGGTTTTTCAATTCAACTAGAACATGGCTTCAAGGTTTCAATCAATCAATCAATCAATCAAACAACAAGAAAACGTATGTGGCCTAGATGAGTGCACATGGGCTATCTGGAAACTGAGAAGCCACCCCATACGTCACCACTCCATTAACTAATCGGCCATTTTGCACACATTGGATCATAAATTTTTTAAGTGCCTGAAAAGGAACTTCATTTTTTCATTTTGCATTTGCGCAATTTCTAAAACGAATAAAATGAATTCAATAGCAGTTCGGAAAGGTGTAAATAGGAGAAACAAATGTGACAGATATTATTAAAGCTTGGGTCAACAGCACTTCTCATGATACTATCGATATCGCATTAAGGGCTGCGCTGGATTTCTTTAATCCCAGGGTATCTTGCAGGATGAATATGACCGGTTTTTATATAAATTATCTCGAAGCCAAACGGCATTGCCAAGCAACTGGCTTGATGAAGACTGCTCACCTCGTGGCAGGTATCTTTGTAAAGCATCCTGGCTATATCCGCTTGCTCACTGTCCGCTGTGAATCAAAACACATATAAATGTATAAATCACAACTAAGTAAGTGCTTGTACAGATTTCATGCAACAATGAACATGCAGTCTCTGTTTAGCTCCAAGGGCTTTAAAAAAAGGGATTCACAGCAGAGTTGGGCTTTAGAG